GGGGGGGGGGGGGGGGAATGTGATGTTCATCCAGCAATTCCGCAATGAGTAGTGCGCAGCTTCATAGCAGCGCCTCCCGATGAACCTCACGAGCGGCTGCCCCAGTCCCCGTTCCAGTGCCTATTTCCTAAACGGGATTACGAGGGACGACATATCATTCATCGATGGAATCATGGGAGGCTTGGCTTGAAGACAGTTCCTCGGACTACTCCTCGCTAACATCAAATGAGCCAGACCCCCCGGCCCCATGTCTACTCTGCACTGTGTCCAGCACCGACGTCACAGTCAAGCTCCTGTCATCCAAGCGTGAAACAGACGACGAAGGATCATTTGAATACCGACTAGACTACTCGTAATTACTCGACTGGAATCCCCCGGTTGATGCTCCACGGCCTAGTCGTCTTTTAGCTGGGTAGAGCATGGCCTCTCATGGCCGTTGAGAGTCAGATCCCTATTTTTAAGTCATGGTAGTGCCGGTGCTGTGGGACCTCGTCTCTCGTCTTGATGCTTCTTTGGGCAGGCGTCGTAAGGCGGACGAGGTGGTTGGCTGCTGCGTCGTGCAGCGGTGTTAGCATGGGGTCAGGCTGCTGCTGCTGCTGCTGGGAAAACAGAAAATGATTCCAAGCAGGGTTACAAGGAGCGCGGCAGCAGACCGCGGCAACTTTGCGAGAGCTTTTGCGAGATGCCTAGGATGGATGGATGGCTAGCTGTTGAAGATGATATTGACAACTCTCACGCCCTTTCGGCGTTTCTCTCGTCTTGCAGACGCCGCTATAGACAAGATTGTAACGTTATGGGTTATGTGCTTCATTAATGCCTCTCACTCACTGCCTACTGAGATCTCATAGATATAGTATTGACAAACAGGCTCTGTCACTAACACTAACACTGACATCCTGATATCCGATTTGGGAAGGTTTTCCCTATCGAAGGCTAGCGCTTTGATGGAATTTGTCATTTTGATATCAGACGAGTCCACAGCCCTACGAAACGCTGGGGCGGCCGGGAAAAGGGCCTAGGAGGTTATCTCCTTTGGCGCTGGAGTGCTCTCCTCTCTCCTGTCTCCAGGTGCAAGGACCGGGATAGTAGCACGAGCACTCCCAGTTGCTTCTATGCGAGACGAGATGCGAAGAGGATCGTTCGGTGCGTCGTTTAGTGTAGGTAGTACAGAGCAGTCTCTCCGCTCCGGGGGGGGTTAGGTTGGCCTGGTTCGAGGCTACATGCCCTGCGCTTCCACCATGGAAGAAAGCATGGAATCATCACTCAGTGGTAGAAGACAGGCTCGTTGCTGCGGTGCGTCCGCACCCGCATCGAGTGAGGACTGAGTGCCAGAAATATCGCGCCGCTTTAATCGTAAAGGGGGGCCATGGCCAGGGAATGTGGGCAAAATTAGCATCCACCAAGAACCTAGCGCAGCCACCGTTTTGACGGCCGGCGGTCGCTCGCTCCGTTCCGCCGCAAACTGTGGTGGTACTTCTGCACCGGCGACCAAAGTACCTTCAGAGGTACGTACCTAGGTAGATACGTACCGTACCTACCCATTACCCTGCCGCACCACCGGTACGTACCTCCACCGTATCTCTGCGGACCCCTGTTCATCCACTTTACTGTCTTTCTCTGCTCTCCGCTCCCATTTCCCGCTATCCTTCTGCTCGTACAAGTTTCCCCAATCGTCCTCGAGGTTGCTGTCAAAGTCGGTATGTACTTCCCGACACCGCCCAGCTGCCACCTCTTCATGCTGCCCTGCTGCAGCCCAGTATTAGCGGCCCTGGTGCAGGAGGTGGAGGGGGAACTGTGACGATCGTCTGCCCGTCGTCGTATATTGGGGCATTGCTGGTGCCTCGGCCGCTCGCTACCTACTTGCTGTACATTGCCTGCCTTTAGAGACAGAGAGACGAGTGCCTCCTCTACCTTATGCACGCACACGTTGCACCGCTTGCTGGCCCTGTACGCCCTATACTTTGCAGTAGGTACCTCCGCCTTGTACGCAGATGTACTATGCGCAGTACATCTGCCCGCGCGCCGTAAAGGATGTGTCTCTTCCAAGGGTCCCTCCCTACCTGAGAGAGCCCGGCGAAGTCACTTCCCACACTCTCTTTCGAGGACCCTTGCACTAGGCGGGTACGTACTGTACCCGGTTCCTCGAAGCGGGATTCCAGGAGTGAACGAACCTTACTGCGTAGTATGGGGGGTCCGGGCTTCCTCGCAAAACGGCGGCGGTACTTTCGTCGTCTGGTACCCCAGCTGTCTCTCCGTCCCTACCGTACAGTACTCTGGTACCCTCGTCACATCCATATCCACACCCTGCAGCCCATCCCCTCCATCCCTACAAGGTTCTTTTTGGCGTCGTCGATGGGGGGTGGAGGGGTGTGGGCTCAGGAAGGACGTACATGGGATGGGATGTGGTCCAATGCGTTGCGCCGCCAGCCTCCACGCTCCCATCCATCCATCCAAGGAAGGGCTGAAGGAATCGGCGCCTTTGGATATTTAATAAACACTTTCCTCCCACCATCTCGGTCTGGCCATCCAGTCCTTCTTGCCTTCACGAGTGTTTCAACTTTTTCTCCAAGTTCAGTCTTGTAATACCAAAGAGTCGCATCTTTGTGTGTCGTGTCTTCCCGTCTGCTCCCAGGTAGAACAAAACAAGACAGCTCCAGAGCTACTAGCACATAATTCACCATGTTCGCCATGTCTCAACATCAGTATGCCTACGCGGCTGCTCCGGCTCCCAGGCAGTACTCCGGCCACGGCACCAGCAGTGCCTTTAGCAGTTCCGCGAATCCCGACGAGGATTGGACCAAGATTTCTGATCTTGCCGAGCGCCGCAGGATACAGAACCGCATTGCCCAGCGTAACTATCGTATGTAGCACAAGCTTGACACAGCAGCTCCCCCCACTAACCAGCTCCCACAGGCAAGAAGCTCAAGAGACGCCTGGAAGACTTGGAGAGACGCGCCGGCACTTCAGATGGAGCTTCCTCGTCTTCAGAAAAGGCCCAGACCACCAAGAGCAACAAGAAGTCTCCCGCTGCCCCAAAGGTCCAGAAACAGCAGCAACAGCCACAGCAGGTCGCTGCTCCTCCCAAGCAGATGCAGCAGAACCAGTTCACACCTCCGATGCACCACGATGATGAGCTCCTGTTCTCCCAGACCTACGATGAGCGTGAGAGGTCGCACACTCCTCCGCTCTTCGGCTACTCAGCATACCCGCCTCCGGATGACATGCTCCTCGCTCCCTACGGCAATGCCCAGCCCTACCGGCCCATGACCACGGAGGCGTATTCCGACTACCTGGCCACCACGGTGCCGGTGACTCTGCCGTCCATGACACATTTCAGCGACGCCATCAAGCGGGAGAGCACCTTCGTGGGGGATGAGTCGATGTCGCCGTACTCTATGAACTACGGCTACTTGCCTGGGATCGATATGAACGCTCCCACGCCCTACGATTCGAATCCTCATGTGAGTTCCTTGCGCCACCACAATCTCCATCCTCATTCCTCCCACCGACCGTGAAAACCCACTACATCGTTCTTCGTTTCTCCGATACTGATGTTCGAGTCCCTGGCACAGACCCCTCCTCTGTCACACTCTTTCGACCACTCGACAACCTGCTCGGACTCGGGCTACGAGTACCCGACCACGCCGCTGTCCATGCCCGCATCACCACCACTGATGCAGCATCAATAAACAATAAGAGTGTCAGCAGAAGACAAAGAGCACTCCTACGACGAGTGGCAACAGATTAATCTCGTGCGTTCATGACGAAGAATGACTTTGGGCGGAATTCTTATTTCTATTGTCATGGGATTTTACGGGCATTTCAGGAGTCTCAAGAGACTCGGTGTTTTTATGGCGTAGCAAATCTTGTTTTTCTTGTTTTTACGCGGGTCAGGATCGAAGTGCTCGACCCTGGGCTACAAACTTGGGAGCTTTGAGCAGGACATGACTTTTTAGTATTGAAGATCAGGTGGAAAAAGTCCTGGCCGGAGTCACTTGGGAGGCAATTAGTCGTCACCGACTTGAATGGGAAATTTGTTCACAATCTCAACTAGATGGGCATTTTTGTGAGAAAGAAAGAGCCACTCGTTACTCTAGAGCTCAGGCTCGAATCTATGTAGTTACATCACCAGAAATGATAAACAAACGGTTTACTCCGAAAAAATCACTCTGACAAAACACACTTCACTACTTCACGCGAGCGTCGTGCACACACACATCCGGACCCCGACCTTCTGTGGCGTTCTCTAGAAGCTCTAGAGAAGCGGCCTTGGCGGCTTACACCCTTCAGATTTACTGTGGTGTCATACATTCCAATCTGGCTAACAGCCCTACGGGCGATGTGACGGCTTACTGCTGGGCCCAACGGTGAGGATAAGGATCTGACATAATCAGAGACGTCTTTCCTCCCCAAGTCCCTCTTCTTCCTCTAGAGACCGTTGAGAGCAAAAGACAAGGCCCGGCTCTCGCTTCCCAAAGCTATTCCTCCGCTATTATTGTTTACCAGAAATCCTGCTGCGCTGGCTCCAAACGCGAGCCTGCCAATGCCACGCTCGCACTGACTCTCTTTTTTCTTCCCTGCTCGTCGCTGCTGCTAATTAATGTGTTTGCCTAAAAGGAAGGATTGCATGCGCTACATACTACTGCTCGAAGGGGGCATTGACAAGTATTTCGCACCCAGGGGGGGAGACACCCCATGGATTGGCAGGGACAGTCGCTCTCTGGGTGCGGGCGATGAATCTTTCCTGTTTGGGAATGCTACACGAGTGGAACCATTTTAGGAGCAGCAGCGCAGAGGCGGCAGGATTCAACGAAGCAGGGAACGCACGTCCTGCTGGCCTGTTGCGCCGCACGCCGTCCGTCTCGGCCGGCCGTGTAGCGTCCTCACTCAAGACCACTGAGAGCCTTCAATTGAGAAGCTTGTAACGGCGCGGCATTCGATCCCTTAGGACATGCGCCGTAGGAAGAGACGAGACTACTGCGTAGCTTGCGTAGCAGACGGACGACAGCTAGGGTGGCCGTTGTTTGGCCGTGTGCCCGCTTCTCCTCTTCTGCTTCATGTACCATTACGCACCGGTCTTGGTTGTGCCGCTGCGGACATTTTGGATCTCCAGAAAGACCGATCTTGCGCGTACGAGGTACGAGCCAAGCACACTACTCATTAGGGAAATCTACAGCGCACATGCACACACGCCGGTTTTCTGAACAAGATCTGGTGTGGCTTAGATCTCTGCGACTCACTTTAGCACTTTGCCGGAAGAGGCACCATGTTCACACGGTCTGGCGGCTGTGAAGAAGAACCCTCTACGCAGATGCAATTGCCTATCTCATACACACTTGCTCGAGATGCGACTGCGAGACTGTTGCTAAATTCATGTCCTCGGGGTGGTTACACGGCGGCAGGTCGCTTGGGAGAGCCGTCGGACTTGATTGATTGAAACAGGCTACAGCCTGAAATCCGAATTGCCCGCCCGCGCCGTCTGGCGGCACGCGCTCGAACCTGCCACACACAAAGGATCGCGAAGGAGCCAGAGAGATGGTTACACGAAGTGCCATAGGCGCAATGGTGGTTGGTTCGGGCCAGGCCAAACTCCATGGGGGAGGTGGGAAGGGGGGATTGACACGCGTGCGCATGCGCCGAGATTAAAACAGAGCAAGAGATCACGCCCGCCGGTCGCGGACAGCGTACTCGTCTGCTCTCTTGGCTGTGCCGTCCAAGGCACACACACTACGGTCCACTTTCCCGTGCCCTTCAAGACCTGCAAGACGGAGAGGAGCCTCGTCTGAAGTGCCGCATTGGTGCATCGGGGACAGACGTTTTAAACCAGGGTCCCCATTAACGTTATCCTCGTCCCTCTTCAAGCCGTCGGCTGGTTGGGTCGCTAGCTATGTTGAGCAGATGCTCGCATCCTTCAAGCTTGTAGCTCGCATTTTCCGCGCGGGTCCTCCAGCAATGATACAGCGCTTGATTGGAGGGCTTGCGATAATACCCTCTAAGTTCTATGAGTTCCTCTCCCGAGACGGTACCGACACCCACTTGGAGTGTACTTGCCGGGTTCATCGTATGGGTGACGAAGACGGCTAGATCAGAATCAAAGTGCGGGACGGCGTCTCGAGAGGATTCATATTGAAGAGGGAGTTTGGCAATTGATCTGCAAAACCCAGGAGGCTTCAACACATGGCACTGCAGGGCTTCTCAATGGAAGAGCCGACAAAGCGGGACCTGGGGTCCCCCTTGTCACTGCTCATTACGGCGCTCTACGGACGGAGAACTTCAAGAGCCCCACCGAAACCTCGGGGCAGGGAAAAGAGAGATCGTCGCAGCTCTGCGACGAAGCGCACCATTCCTCCTACTTCGAAGGATTGGGGAGGGGGTTTAAAATTGGGGATTGATAGGGATCATAGGGCTGGCACCGGCGCGCAGAATAAGTCCTAGATCGGCTAAGTGCCGGATTGTCGCATTGGCACTTAAAACGTTATGGGGCATCTCTCTTGTCTTGCTGGGGCCTGCGGATTGAGTGCACACTGCATGCACATCGTGGTCCGTGGATAATTGAAATGAGGAGGATTGCCTTGCCAGCTGTCGTCATTTTCCCATGACGAGCCAGAAAGACCGACAGGCTCTCCGATCCCATCACACACCAACCTGCACTTACATATGCAACGATGCGCGCTCTGTAACGGATTTGAAATACCATCTTCACGGAGCGGCGCGCTCTGGCAGTCCCGTGATTACCAACCCGCCACGCTCGCCTTCATGGACAGCATCGGGCAATTTGGCCAAGAAGAAGCCTTCTAGAAAGGAGCCGAATAGTGGCCGGCACTTTCGGCTGCATGTAGGCGAAAGACATGCCCAAAACTTGAATGATCCTTGCCCAGCCACAAGCTGCTTTAAGTCTCTTGATCGTGAACAACATCTGCCTGCGATGCCGGCCACGTACTCTCGAAACGGTGAGAAGATGCGTCATCCACGATGCAAACGCCATCACAGGATGCAACCTCTTCCAGAAGCTTGGAACGTCCTTGAAGCATCGCTGAAGCCGGCGTTGGTGGGCGGTGTGTTCGCCAGCACTGGCGCACCACCGCACTACCCCCGCCCCAGTGGTACATTAGCGACTTGCTTGCCAAGCTCTGAGCTATGCCCGCATTGGATTTCGTGGCGGCGGCTCGGCAAGCCCGACACGTAACGTTAGATCCGACGGCGCGGCTACCCTGGGCGTTTGCAGCGTCAAATTAGGCCTATCACCTTGCTTGCTGGGCGGCCGCAGCCCCGCACTCTAAGCGTCCATGACGCTTTGATTCGCTACAACTCAGCCCTACTGCCTCGCTGCTGAGTTTTCGGCTCTTGACTCTCCCGGACAGAGCCTCACTGTCAGCTGCTTACTGGTTGGAGCCATATCCCAATTGCTCTCAAGGAGGCCTTCTGCATCTTTCAGCAACATCGAATCATCAGACTAACTCTCCAGGCGTTACCGGCAGCTCGAGTGGCTGGCCTGAACTTGAGGCCCGACAGCGGGAAACTTTCCACGGGCCGAACGGGCTCAGGCACCAGTGTTTCAATTGCCTGTGATAAGGTACCTTGCCTTTTTCTCGGACAAGGCCAGCTCGGATTTCGACTTATAGCGCCTACCATATCTCCGCCTCTATGGCATCGCCATCTGCCTCATCCTACGGCTCCGGGACGCCCCCGCCACAATCAACACCATTATCCCCTAAGTATCTCTTTGGAGGAGACAGGTGCGTCCGCTCCTGATGCCTGCATGCATGCACGCCTCCCTGCTACCTGTCTACATTGTGTATTGCATCTCCATGTACCTCTGGTCACCTCTTGAATTTCTGGCTTCCGTTTTGCAAGACTGCGCCTACCGTTTTCCCCGGATTGGACATAGCTTCTGTTTGTTATCTTCCAGGATGAATCATTAACATAAGCCTTTCGATTCTTTCCTTGGAACAGGCGATGGGATTCCTCTCAGTGGACAGACTCCGATGACCGCGTGCGCGGTGGTCGCTCACAGTCCCATCTGACGGTTAGCCGCGTGGGCGCTGCAACTCGTGCCGAGTTCTCCGGACACCTGGACACCTCCGCCCTGGGCGGCGCAGGCTTCGCGTCACAGCGCACGGTCGACGACCTTTGCTGCTGGGACCTGTCAGGCTATGAGTCCCTCACGCTAGACGTTGCCGAGGCCGACGAGAAGCGCTACACCCTCATCCTCAAGGACACGATCCTGTCTCGACGTGACGACGGTCGCGAGCAGAGCACCGTGAGCTGGGAGTATGACTTCACCGTCGGCACCGTCGGCGGGAACGCGGGTAGCACGACGGTTGTGATGCCCCTGGCCGACTTCCAGCCGACGTATCGGGGCCGACCGAAACCCGACGCTACGCCGCTTGACCTCTCCAAGGTCAAGAGGATCACCTTCATGATGCGCAGGTAAGGATCTGGCTGTTTCATTCATTAAAAAATGACGTATTCACCGCCCTGAGCGAATGCGCACATCAGGGTTCTGCAAGGCTAACTAATTGCGCTGCGGCGCGGGGAACAATAAAGCTTCTTTGGCGATCAGGAAGGAGACTTTTCCCTGTCCATCAATTCCTTGGCCGCTGGTGGTGCTGCTCCTGCTGGTGCGACGGAGATACGAGCCTCGCGGCATTCTTTGTCCGACGGCACAGTCGAAGTCGCGGAAGAAGATTATGTCCGCGTGGACAATGTCGAGATGAAGCATGAAACTGATCATGTGAACGACAATACATCTTGGCTGGCGTGGCTCAGGGGATTATGGAGTCGCTGACCGGGTATCGAAATGGTCAAGCTTCTGGTAATGGATTTGTGGGTAACGGCGGAAAGGGATTGGGAGTGAATGGAGCACCTTGGGGTTGAGGCCCTCATCAATTAAAGCTTGCTCAATCCTTTGTATAAGTATCTGCGTGTATCAACATCGCCAGCGATCCTGCGCTGGTCCGAATCGGTAGATCGTAAATGTCTAATTGTCTAGAAATCAGGGGCTGTATGCGCATCTTTTCTCCTTGGCAACGCGACACTGCGTACACATGCCGAAAACGGCAAATAATAAACACCATGTACGGACCTGTCTCATCTTGTCTTCCGGGATGCGCTTGTCGATTGGCGAATACGCCCCAACGTCGCAGGATGGTTCTAACAAGGATGCCGACCGACCAGACCCAAAAGAGCTAACGATTTTGCGAGAATGAAATGGGGCAAGGGAAATGATCAGTGGTCTTGAAAACGGTGCTGTGCCGCATTCTCGGAGATCGTCCCCGGAACTTCAGCAGCCTCAAATGTGAGCCACCCTTCAACGGAAAAGGTATCATGATAGCGACAGGTTTGCTCGTTGCTCACGTTTACGGCATTCCATCAAGAGGTTTGTGTGCGAAGAAATGTCTTGGATCTGGGATAGCAGAAGCGTGGCTTTCTTATGTTAGAAGATCTCACTCGACGTCAGCCATACGTAGAGTACTACTCATGCGTCCATCGAAGTGGGATAGAGCTGGTGACAGAGCACGCGGAAGGTAAAAAGGTCAGGGTGATGAACGTAAGATATGATACTGTCTTATTACGAGCATGGCCGGAAATGCATAGACCCAATTCCACCACTATTGTTTCGCCGTGGCCCTGAACGCTTTTCTTTATACACGTCCCATCTATCCAAAGAGCCGAACGCCATATGCTCAGGTTCTTTCAAGTCACCCGAGTTGAGCTAAATAACCAAAATCGTAATACATGCCAGAATGCTCCTCGAATGCAATTTCATGCAAAGGTAATTAGGGGTGCGGTGTCTCATCAACCTGCCACGCATCTCTCTAACGCTGGTGCAAAGCGCTCTCAATCTCAACGTACAATCAGGGGTATCCTCGCCAACAAAAGTCTTCAAAATCGTCTCCCAATTATCATGTCTAAAGTCTCGGTAGGTCATGACAGCGGCGTAGATGGCGAGACTATAAAGTGCCGCCCTGGCGCTGATTCGAGTTGGCCGGCGGCTGGACCTCGTTCAGGGGCGCGCGCTGCTCGGCCGAGTCTGTCCGTGGCTCGCCGGGCACGGGCGGCTCCTCGAGGCCTTCCTTCATGATCTCATCCTTGCGGCCGACCGAGGGCCACGTGCGGTTGCCCGAGAGGGCGTTCTCCTCTGCCTCGGCCAGCCAGCGGCGCCACTGCTTAGTGCCCGGGGCGGCTCCGCTGCGCTCGACCCAGCCGGTGCGCTTGGTCTCACGGATGGCGTACCACAGGGTGCGCGTGAAGCTCTTCATGCCCTCGCGCTGGTCGTTCTCGTCGGTGATGCCCTCGGCGCCCTTTGCGTCCTCGGGCGTGACGTCGCGCCACTCGTAGCGGCTCAGGTCCCAGAACAAGCGGCGAGGCAGCATGCCCATGCCCCAGTAGAGGCCGTTGAGCAGCATGTACGACACGCCGATGAACACCTGCATCCAGAAGGTGCAGTTGCCGAGCAGCACGACCGACACCATGAGCAGGATCGTCGCCACGCCCATCAGCAGCCGGTACATGCGCTCGCCGACGCGGTACTTGCACTCCTCGGTGCCAAAGTACAGCTCCCGCGCCACGTCCTCGGTGCAGTGGATGAGGATGAAGGCGCCCTCGCGCGTGCGGACCATGACGTCGCTCCGGGGCACCCTGTTCGTGTGCGTCCGGTTCATGAGGATGGGGCTCCACCACGACGCATAGCCCACGATACTGGACATGATGGAGATGGCTCCGATAGCCAACATGGCTGCGGCGTCCTTGAAATAAATGCCAGTGACGAACATCGCCAACGATAATAAACAAGAGAATATTGACAATATGTGAACTGGACTTAGTAGCGTAGCAGGCACAGCCGGACGCTTTGCGGTATTAGCGAGCGTAGGGTTCGACAGGTAGTCTGTCACTCTCTCCTGAACGGTCCGCCGCCGCGTGACTCCCGGTATCGGCTCCTCGCCGCCCTGCTCGACATCATTGCCATAAGCCGTGCTGTGTCCTGTCGTCATCGTGCCCGGTCGGTTGTTCTTCTCTTGGTTATTCGAGCCCGAATCATTGGACGGCGCCCGGGGTATGCTGGGCCTCCGGCCACTCAAATTTGTGTTCTGCCTCCGCCCAAACAGCCTCCCAATACCTGACCCCGTCCTGGCCCTAAGTGCCCCGTTGGCGCTTCCGCGTTGTGCAATGATGCCGCCGGCCTCGTCCCGGTCGCGGTGCTTGATCTCGAGGACCTTGAAGGATAGGGCGGGCAGCTCGTCAAGGGGATGGATGATGTTGGCGAAGAAGCCAACCGAGTCGAGCACGAAGCCGCTGTAGACACCGCACATCTTGGCCGTGACCTCGGGCATGCGGCCGGGGCGCGAGGGCTTGAGCAGGGCCTGCGGCGCAGGTAGGATACGGGGGAGCATACACAGGAAGGACGCCGTGATGGCCTGCGAGTGCTCTGCCATGCTGTTCTCGCCGATGACGGCGAGCAGCGTCACCACATCCAGCCGCCAGCCGGGAGAGTCATTCTGGCCGAAGGGGAACCATGCCAGGGCGCCGGTTGGGCCTGAGGAGGTGGACTCGCTTGACATGATGGAAATCGATGCTCCCGAGAGCTCGTTCTTCGATACGGAAGTCAATTGACTCGCGTTTCTGATCGAATGATGGAAATCGGCGCGGTAATCGTCGTAGTGACGCTAGTTAGTTGTGCCAGATGTCTCTCCCGTAGCCTTGTCAGGCTTCGAAGCCCCAGACACCAGGCGAAGGGGATTGGATATAGCTTCTTGATATATCAATGAATAAGTCCAATCGATCAATCAAACAAAGATCACTTATTAAAGGTGCCAAACAAGAAACACTTGAGCAGTGTAGATGAGATGAATGATGCCCAAGGAGAATCCATGGGTATTAGGAGAAAGAACCGGGCGCGACGCCAGCCAGAGAAGAACGCCTATGGCGTCGATTGAGGTTTGAGGATATGCGGCTGTGAAGTGGGCTCGTGCAGCGCCGATTCGTAGGCGGGTTGCTGTCATTGTGCTAGCTGGGGGCTCAGCTTCGGCACCTAGAACCTGGAAGGGGGCGGCAACTGTTCCGTACTGGGGCAATCTACGGCGGGCGAGCTGCTTAGCACGGGCATTCTCCATTATCAATCTTACATCACACTTGAGACATAAGGCTCTTAGAAAGCTGCTGATCCTTGATCTTCAAGCAAGGAGCCGCAATCCTCTGGAGTTGACAGTCTTTCTGATCTTGACTACTCTGTTTGGTTCCTTTGAAGACTCTTCAGTCCCGTTTCATGTCTCACTATTTCCTTTATGACCTGTTCCAGACTCTCCAGCCCCCAAAGCCTGCTACTCCAATGACTGCAAAGATTCCCAACCAAGCCATAACTGCTTGACGAACTATGGCACCTACAGCTTTGTCTCTCTCCTCAGCGTCGTTTTCTCTTGGGAACGGCACTGGCGGAATTGGCCTGCCCAAGAACCTGCACAGCGGCTCCCATCCGTCCGCGACGTTGACTTCTAGCAGCCTTTCCTTTGGCACGATACTGCGCACCCAGGCGTTGTGCTTGAGGATCAGATCCGGGCCCGGACGGCCTCCATGTCGCCTCTCGACACTGTGAAGACGTCAGCAATGCAGCCTCCTGAGTCGATGGTCCTGGAATGGGATGCCCACTCTTCGAAGTACCCTCTGGCTGTGTCAATGTACCATCTACGGCCCGGGAGCGGCTGCACAAGGCGGTTCAGCGTCTGGTCTTCGCAGCTGTCGGCGACCGGCTTGAAGCTCTTCCACCACCTCTCCGGGTCGCGCGTCACGAGGACGACCTTGGCATCCGGGTACAGCTCCATCAACTCAGGCAGGAAGTTGAACGCCGGCACGTCCGCCATGGCCACAAACCCGGCCGTCGCCTCGCGGAGCAGCTTCATCAAGCGCGGCTTGTCGTCTTGTCGTCTATACTGGTAGATTTTGTTCCATTTTCTGCAGTATGCTGAAGCCGGCATTGCGTGTTAGACCAGACACGCACGATGTGTCAAGAAAGTCCAACTTGTTCTTGGTAGCATACTGACCGTCCTCTCTTTGAAGCAACTGCTCGCCTCCGTGAAATGTCGGCCCGTCGAGTAGAATCTCGTAGGCTCTTGCGTATGATAGTGTACCCGTTCGCGAAAAGCCTACGCTGATGACTTCAACCTTCCTTGAAAGATCAGTTGGCACTGATGGAACACCGCCCATCTTCTCAGACTTTAGATACTGATTAGCGAGCGAGGGAAAAACCTAGCTTCACGCTCATCGTTCTGAAGTCTTTGAAATTTTGATTTGAGTGTTATAGCATTTCTCTTGCAGTGTTATCATATGTATAAGGTATTGCTTCTTAGCAACACCGGCTCCATCCTTGATCGACACGGGAGGATTTAGCGAATCCTTGCAACACTGACCGTCTAGCAAGGCCCTTTTCGGTAAGGCTCTTCAGTCCTTAAGTCCGGCATACTTTTCATCTCGAGTGCAACTAACCTCAGAACCTAAAAACAAGTTCCTCACAACGTGAGGTCAGTGTATTGCTATGAGACCTGAGTATGTCTTACACAGCTTGAGTGTGTCGTCCGCCGTAGTGCAGGTAGTACACTGTGGACTTGCTCAGCCCCCAAAAGGTGCCTCTATGTATGCCTTACACCTCCGAACCTCTCATTCAGGCAGTCGTCTCTGGCTAAGCTCTGGGCCATGGACAAATCAAAGAGAATTTTAGGCGGCACGCAACCGGGAAGTTGATAGGATTCGGATTGTCGGAGCAGATGCATCTCTGCGGCGCCGAACGAAGATGAAGCGTCCAGTAGACCAGAGGGCACTTCTTGGAGCCCACATCAGCAGCAGCTACCTATCTCCAACTATGCCGTCGTGATTGATTTCGCTTCCCCTGCGCCACATACAACCGAACGCCCGGCTTTCCCTGCCCGTGTCCCATCATCCATCCAGATATTGCATCTATTAGATCGACTGCGCCAATCACTAGAGCCTCGCCAGTCCCCGTCCATGTCTATCCTTCACCCCAATAACATCACCAACCAGGTCGGGATTTTCCCCTGGAGAAGAAATGCCCCCTCTAGAAACGCCGATGAGTCGTCAGCGCATCATGCTCTTCTCATAAGTTCGTCAAATCGCCAATATCGTAGCCTCAACCGTATGCTTTAAAATGAAAACTCTTTTTCTCGCCAGGACGGGTGTTTCTTTGTGAGGACCTATAGAAGTTGCTCTTACTCGTCGTCGTCCGGGAGCTTGGCCTCGTCCCCGTACGTCTGGATGATCCAGTCCAGGAACACCTCCCAGCGCTTCTCCCACTCGAAACGCACCGCGTCCAGTTCCTTTGGTGACATGCACGAGTGCTCCAGGCTCCATTCTATCAACTGTCTCCAGCCGTGGAGGTCCATGTCTGTTTTTCCGATCAGGACTTGATAGAAGTCGTGCGAGAGTGTAGATCTGGAAGTCGTTAGGGCTTTGCCAAAAATAAATATGTTGTAGACTTACCTAAATAATGTGCCATTGTCGCTGTTCACGGTGCAATGGACGTCGTTTGCCAGGAGGTTGTACATGGTGTGCCCGTTCATCCGCGGAGTCAACCCTAGTATCTCATTTGAGATGGGGCAGACCTCCAGGCAGACATTCTCCTGCTTCATCCTCTCCATGATGTAGGGATGCCGCGCCAGGGCGAATCCATGGCCGATCCGCTTGGACTTGAGGAGCAACGCATCGAGCAGGTTGCCGTCGGTATCATTGCCCATTTCTAATGTCTCACCGCAGTGGAATAGAAATGGTATATCCAATCCATCTCTCTCGCAGTTTTCCTGGAATTCGAGGAACTCCTCGATGAAAAAGCCCAATGGGTGTCCTTTATTTTCCTCCCCAACGAGATCATAGCCTGGGTATCGTAAGAATCTACCTGCATGGTTTAGACGTCTCAGAACTTACCAGCAATCCACTCTGGCCATCGTTTCTTGAATTGCATGCACTCGTTCAAGGAATATCTAACGTGTTCTTTGGAGAAGGACCGAGGAGTGCAGTAAATGACCTTGAGGCCGCCGAAATAGTCGTTTGTCTCCTGCTGAAACCTGTCGTACTCCTCTGTGATGATCTGCATGATGCCCACGTTGTCGATTTGCCTAGTCCCATCGTCCGTCCAAACCTGATTTGTTTCCATGAAATTTGGCCTGATCTCGGCGTACTGTATATTATCTTGGATGAACTCTTCCAAGCACAGCCTAGTGTACCTACGGTAGGCGGTTTCGTAATTGAAAAGTCCTTTCATCATACGTGTCCGGCCATTGAACTTCTCCCAAGCGCTGTGGATGTCGTCAGATCAGCAGGTTCATCTCGCGCACGGGAGACTTACCCATCTACTGTTTGCAGCCAGTGGTGTGCTTCTTCTTCATCGAAGACCAATTTGTCGATGAGCCAGTCTTCGGCCCAGCTTTCTGGTGATTTACTCTTCCGTATGCATTCCTCCGGGTAGTGTGTTGGGAACTCCTGGATGAAGTCCACGAATTTCATGGTTTGGCGGTTTATATATGCGGGATTGAACAGGTTTCCAGGTCTCTCCTTTTCCGGCGGCAGAATGGAAAATTGGATTTCACATTTGTCCCAATTCTCCTTGGCGGTCAGCGGAATATTGCTCATGATGAACATGCGCTCCATATCCTGGGCGATTCTGATCAGAACGTAGGGCAGGAGGCATGCGTTGAAGTGGATATGGAGATGCGCCCCTTTCGGCATCTTCTTTGCAACTCGAAAGACCTTTGTCTGCTCTATCAAAGTTTGGTTATGGAGAAAATGGTCCCCAGGGAAGCGAGGGAATTCTTGGCCTTCCAGGCCTTTCTGGTTTGGCTGGGCTTTATAAATCTGGATGCGATCATTGTGTTTCAACACGTCCAGGATCCGGCCGGCATGCCGTTGTTTTGCGGAAGCAGTCTGAGTACATCTCCAGGCGAACGAGAGAGCATCCTCTCTTTCCTTGGTCTTGCGGCGTTCCTCCAAGTAGGCCCTCAAGCGCGCGGGGACAGCCGCAGCCTTGCCCGTGTCGACGGCGATGGTAGGCTCCTGGATCCGGGGGAACTGGGCGCGCCTCTTGTCGATGACGACGTCGAGGGCGGCAACGGTGTTATAAGTCATGGCGAATTTATGATTGGTTGTTGTGTTGGTCTTGCGAGATCCAAAGCCAGAGGGTTTGCTGGCTGGTATGTCAGCGGGATGTATAAATCTCTCCTGATGAGGGTGCGTCTTGACAAGCTTTGAATGAGCGCGCTGAGGCTGTTCGGGGCGCTGCTCAGCCTTCTCGGCATCGTCGGCGAGGTCTTCTTTATCTAGGTAGCTACAGGAGGTCCCCATAAAGGCAGTCGAGGGTGGAGTGAATAGAGTTTGGCGACTGCAACAAAGAGCAAGTGTGCGCGTGCTCGCAGCGGTATGAATGTTCAAGGAAGCCGCTTCCAGGTGTGACAAGCACGGGACCAGGCGTTAGTATATATGCTGGTACTGATGAGGGCGATGCCCGACTGCACGCGATACGGCGAGAGTGAGCCAGAGATGCCGAACAAGCCAGATGAGCCGGATGAGGAGGGCTGAGCCAGTAGAACCCCAGGATGAGAATAGCGGCGGTATGCGGCGGGCATAGGCTTCCCTTCACTAGAACCAGGGCCGGGAGCCTTTCTTCCTTCTTCTCTTTCTTCAACGGGAAAGCAAGCGCCGGGGGTTTGTATGACAGACAGACAGACAGACAGACAGACTGAGGTTGTAGGCCTGAAATTGAGGACGCCGATTTGGCGCAGAGCAATCTCGTTTGTCTGGTACAGCCAGGCTACCTAGCAACTTAGACAGCTTGGACTAGAGTAGAGGTATCTTGGGCAGGTCGATAGTTGTCAGGTCGGGCAGAGCATGTGGCTCGTGAGCTGCTAACGTTAGATAGCAATGAGGTGAGTTTCGGGCCTGGCATATTGGGGCATGTTTGGGAAGGCTGTGTGAGTCTGTCGCGATAGAGCAGGAGGAGGAGGCATATGAATTACGGGTGTGATGTTGGGTGGTGGTGGTGGTGGTGG